CTGAGCAGTTTAAATTTACTTTAAGGAAAGATTCCCTTGGACTTCTTCGTAAGAACTTCTCAATAAAAACAGCCAAGGAAAGTAGCCAATAGGCTACTAGTGGTGAGTGGGAAGATAAGACATATATTATATCATTTTTGCTTCATTGAAAAAATGCTACCTCTGTATTTAGAGCATTAGCATGCATCATTGTAAGTTTATTATTCCAGTGAAAACATCTGGAATTAAAAATAATTAGAATATTTAATACAATGAATTTATGTATTAATTCACATGCTTTTATAACTCAGGACTTCTCAGTTGAAAGTGGCAGAAAAGACCACAAATTAGCTGAAGAGGAAAAAGGGGACACTGATATGGACATGAGGGAGAAACCAGAAGCTACTGCTATAGCCCACTGAAGCTTGGAGACATGTATTACTGCAGAATAACTTTGTCCAAGCTGACCGGCACAGGGAACTCTGGCTTGCCAGTTCCATTCTCCTAGAAGGTGGATTTTCTTGCACTTCTCATGAAAGCTTCCTAGCTCACCTAAGTTAGTTTCTGTTCTTTACAACTGACAGTCTCTGATAAAACTGATTTTCAACTGATATTATTTACAAATATTTTTATATTTAATGTTTTTCACATAATTGGTTTCTATCCTTCTCTGGATGCCAAAGTTACAGACTGAACACCTCTAACCTGAAACTTCGAAATCTAAAATTCTCCAAAATCCAAACTTTTTTTGGTGTGTGCATAATATCACAAGTGACAAATTCCTACCTAACCTCATATGATGATTCTGAGTCAAGCACTGGAACACTAAGAATTCATACAAAATCACTTTTAGGCTATGTGAATAAAGTACATATGAAACATATGAACTTCAGATTTAAATTTGGATAGTATCCCAAGATATATTACTATGTATATGCAATGTATTATATTACTATGTATATGTGAATATTCCAAAATTCAAAAATAGCCTGAAATACTTCAAGCATTTCAGAAAGGATTAATCAAAGCCATATGTACATGCATATATTATACATCCAAGAAAATATGAATTTATGTGAGTGATGTCCTATTTATTTTACTTCATGTAAAATAATTTTTGTCTGCACACTATTTATTATCAAATAACAGATGATATAATAATTCTCTCTTACTTTATACAAATGAAATTAGCACATTCTAAACCTGGAGGCTATTTTCCACAATACTTTGGCAAATACAGTTGAAATCCTTTGCATCCTTGTGAGTGAGAAACAGAGAGAGGTCTGAAATATGCTTAGGCTTGGGAGTAAGCAGTGCTGTGGGTCCTGGGGTCTGACCTGCCTGTCCTCTAGTTCCTTCCTTGTGCCCCAGTATAACGCAGAGCAATTCTCTTCTCTGTGGCATTCTCCTGAGACTTGCACGAAATGTTTATATTGGACACAGAACGTTCTGAGTTCATGTCAAGTAAAGCAAAAGAAGGGAAAAAGCATAAACTTAGATGACCAATTATACTGACCACAAGAACATACAGATTTTAATACACTGTGATATATAGTTATCTGAATATCAATTTGATGACATCTAAGACATTTTGCACACAGGCACTACAACTCTGCACATTTTTTCCCCAGAACAGTTTAGAAATGAAAGTATATCAACTGAGAGTTTATTTTTAAATGATTAAGTTGTAAATCTTCATTTAAAAAAGGAAGTAGAATTCTTTGGAGGTAGAATCGTAAGGATCAGGAGTTCAAAGTCATCCTTGACTACATAACATGTTCAAGGTCAGCCTGGGCTGTAAAATTCTATCTTAAAACACTGTAATTAATTAATTAGTCAAAAGAGAAGGTATAGTGAAGTAGCCTTTGACCCAAGATCAGAATGAATCACGCAAATTTAGGGTAAAAAGGAAAATAAAATGTTTGCTTAACAAACCCAAAGAAAGGTTGAAAATATGTTACTGACGCAGTGATTGACAAAACATCAAGAATTCAAGAAGAATGTTAAGATTTAGAAATGGGAAGGGCTTAAAATTACAAATCGATTACAACAGTAGCTCCAAATACATATTTTTAAATGTCTGCAAAATCACTTTGTGTTGCAAGCTTTTATATCGGCCTGATTTGGATAAAGGAATATAGCAAGTACTGATGTGAAATAAAAATTTATACAAGATATTTGGCTTGAATGACTATTTCATGTATTGTTACTTTTCATGGATTTTTGAAGGTTACAAATATCTGAAAAAAATTTTAATTTGGTCAGCTGACAACCATTAAAATTAAAATAGCTGTTAAAACTATTTAAAAATAGAGTTCAGTCATTTTGCTTTGAATGTGTAAGCTGATGACTTATGCTGAAGGAATATTTGTTCGCATGACTGTCTTCATCAGTAGGAATGGATAATATCATGGAATATTAATGAAACATTCAGCTTGTGTTGATAACTGGATGTCCAACTCTGAGAGATGTAAGCATAGTCTCTTGATCTTCAGTGTTTTGAAGGTCATAGCAATTCTGGCCCATGAGCCTTCATAGAGACAGACATATTAACTAGGACATAGATGATGGGAGGAAAACGGAGCAGTGACATGTTATCAAGGAAAAGTAAAGTTGGACAGTAATGTTTAATGATGATTTAACAGAGAATAACTGAATATTAAAAATCTGTTTTCCTTTTGCCTAATTTTCTCCAGGCCATTTGATTACTCAGACTGAACAAAAATGATACCTATTTGTTATTTTGGAAAAATGTGCAAAAAAAAAAGACAATAAATACTTGTAGCCATTCTATTTTCTCATGTTTTTTTTTTAACAGATACAAGAATGTCAACAACTCTGTCTACTCACAGTTTCCATTATTGAGAAAACAAATGTCTTAACATTTCAACTATACATGGGGCTTGGCAAAGATTTAAAGGTTCCTTTTTGTCTTTGTTGATAAAGCATAGGCTTTTCGTCACAGAAGTGATATTGTGGTTCAGAGCATCCTGATTAGCATATGGATCTAAATTATTTGCCTAGACAGTGATTATTTCTTAGATACTTTGTAGGGCAATTCAACTGTTCAGTCAGTAGTTTGAGAACAGAATCATAATATGAAGAATGAAACTGACTGTGAAAGCTTTTTAAAACTTCCAAAATTAAATGTCACTGTAGAAAGTGCAATGTGAAGTGTTTTAAAAACAGTGGTGTGCATGGGCCCACCGGGGCTCAGATTTGTGGCAAACTAAGTCCCCACCAGTGCTGCTATAGATGAATCGATTATAGAGAGTGTGGATGACTGTAAACATGGATCTCATTTAGGAGGAAAGAGAGTGGAAAACACTTCCAGTGACTGCTGGAAATGGCAGTGTTTGCTCTATGTTTTTTTCCCCTCCGAGAAAATTATTGCTGTTCCAATCTTCAAAGACAGCACCTCTCAAAGTTACTAATCTCCAAGGAATACTAGGAAACTCCTACTCAGAGGCAGCTGAGGACTGCTGGCCATCTTCATTGCCTTGCCTCAAGCTTGGGTAGCAACTCCACAATGTAAAGAAAATTCTCCTCCAACAATCCTGGGCAGTTGCCCTGCCTTCCACACCCCCCAAATAAGTTGAATATTTGGAAAGTAAAGTTGAATTAAAGCACATCTCTGAAAAGTGGCTTCCTTCCTTCTAAACAATGCAGACATATTATTATAAAGATGCCTTAGATTCTCATGGAGCTTGTATTCCTGTTTTGTGTGTGTTCGGTGGGGGCGATAAATACAAAACTAGTATAATTAGCATATGTGGCATGTCGGCATGCCAGAGGGTGATTAGGACTACTGAGAAAAATAAGACAGGGAGGTAAAGGGTGTCTGAGACCAGGCATCCATTGTCAGCAAATGGATGGTCTGCCTTTGAGCAAAGATGACAGTCACCCTGCCTAGGCACTGGGGAAGAGTTTCTGGCCGAGGGAACACCCAGTGCAAGGTCTTAGGCAGAAGGCAGGCTTCCGGTGTTGTTGAGGAAGAGCAAACAGCCCAGTGTGGCTGGAGCAGAGAGTGAGGAGCAATGAGAGGAAGAGGCCAAAAGAACAGTTATGTAGGTTTCGCTAGATGGTTCTAAGTGTGGTCCGAGAACCACAGGAAGCCCTCAGAGGATTCTGAGTTGAGGAGGTGCATGGTTTAAAACGTTAAAGGCATTTCCCAGCAGCCCTGGTACAGGCACCATCAAGAGGGGCCAGAAAGATAAATCTGCTAACAGGTGTCCCCAAGTTTTTACATACAACTGCGGAAGGGGAAATGGTTTGAATCTTTGAGAAATGGAAATATGAGGGAAAACTGGGTCTCAGGGCCGAACGGCTCAGAAAACTCTGGTCCTATTCCAGCCTAAGATCCCCCAGCTCGAAGGTCAAGGCCCAGTCTGTACCCCGCGTTGCCATGGCACCACAGGATTATTTTTCCCCCCTCCTCCCTCTTCCTCTAGAGTCCTAGGCACTGGGACTTGCTTCCCTCCAGTAGGAGCGCCAGGTCTCGCTCAGCGCGGACTCATCAGTATTCCGCCTGCAGAGTCTCTCCCCGCCCCCGCCGGGCCTCCGTGTCTGCCTGCCCAGCCACTACAGTCCCCTGCGATCCGCGCGACCTCACCGTCCTCCCTACCGCCTCCTCCCGAGCTCCCAGCCCACCCTGCACTGGAGCTTGCCTTCGACGCCCGCGCGCCTCTGCCGGGCCACTTAGGGCTTAGCCACACTGTGGCGGCGGACATAGGCTGCAGACCACGGAGGGGGCGTCCAGTGCCCAGCGCACAGACAGAGCATCAGGAAAGGGGGGGGGTCATTTTATGATCCCCAGAACAACTCTCTGGAGACGTTCAGTTTCCCTGTGTGGCACCCAATGTCCCCTGAGCCTCCTGCAATGCAGCAGATCGGAGGGCAGACGCCGAAGGCACCTGCACTGCGCCCCCTCTGGGATGCGCTGTGAGCATCGGGGGACCATCTGCTGCGAACCTGGAGGACCCCAGGCGCGGGGACTCAGGGTTGGGTTGCAGAGGGCTCACCTTGTGCAGTTTCCACATAGCCCCCAGAGCCTTGACTTCGTGGCTCGAGTGTTTGCCCTCCTCCAGGCACTGGTAGCACACCGGCATCTTGCACTGCACGCAGTACATGCTGTGGTTCTCCAGCTCATGGTCTGTGCAGGTGGACACCTTGCGTGGGCTCAGCCTCCGGCTCACGCGGCCCTGTGCCGGGGGCACCAGGCGGTGTTTGGCAAGGGGGCCCCGGGGCGGGTGGCAGCGCAGGCGGCAAGGGTCACAGTAGAAGACATCGCACTGTTCGCACATGACGGTGGCCTCCTTGGGCGCCTTCTCGCAGAGCTGGCACTTGAGGGCCGCGGCTTTGCTCTGTTGGTAGCGGTCGATGACCCCTTCCAAGACGCGGTTCTTGGGGAAGCCGCGGAGCCCCCGGTCATCCAGGATGAGGCTGCGGTGGCACTGGGGACAGGTGATACAGGAGTTGCGGGGCACCGGGGCCAAGGCCGGTGACAGGTGGGTGGCCGGGGGCGGCATAGCAGGGGGGAAAACGCGGACTCCGTTGGGAGACTTCTGGCACGGGGTAGTGGGGGCGCTGGCGAAACCTCCGTAGGAGCCATAGCCGCTGTCCGCTTCGCTGTACAGGCTCATCTTGTCCAGGTCCAGATAGTCGTAGTCGGAGACCCCAGAGCCCGAGGCCCTACGGCTCTGGGGGGACTCGGACTCCGGGGTCTGCACCAGGATGTTGCGGGCGCACGCCTGGCATAAATTGTGAGAGCAGGGCAGGATGATGGGCTCCCGGTAGAAGGAGCCGCACACGGGGCATTTTAACTCTTCTTCCATCTCTTCCATGGGGACCTGGCGGGAAAGGAGGCAGCAGTGGCTGCAGCAGCGGGTGCCTGAGCTGGGTAGGCGGCCGACAGGCCTGTGGTGTCCAGCACCTTGGTCAGCAGCGGCGGAGGACGCGCCTTCCCGCGTCGCCTGGGCGCAGACTCCCTGCGACGCGCTCGCTCTGTTGGCAGCCGAACCTCCGCACAGCGCACCGCCCCGGCCCGCCCCCTGCTGCCCACCTAGCCCCGCCCCGCCTGGGGGCCAACGCTCATTGGGCGGCGGGCGAGAGAGCAGAGCTCTCATTGGTCGCCAGGCCTATCTGTCTCCTCTTCCACGCAGGCCACAGAGAGTTCTGCGATGGGAAGCTGGAGCCCGGTCTCCGCTCGCAGGTGGCTGCAACTAGACGGGAGGGGTCCCCGCGGAGGCTAGGAGCCCGGGAAGGAGTGAGGCGGAAGGAGTGAAGCGCGGTGACTCATCCCTCGCCCCGCTTCCTTCCGAGCTTGGGTGCAGTCACCCAGGAGCAGGGGGCGAGAGAAGCCCTCCCTGCCGCGAGTGGGCTAGCTCTTGACGCCGCCACGCTGCGCTCGCCTTCCAGCTCGCGGCTGCGCGCGCCGTCGGCGGGGGCTGCGCGCGCGGAGGACACCCCTCTCGCTTCCGCTCCTGGCAGCCAGAGCGGGCGCCTCCCCCAGGCCTTCCCGGAGGCATTCTAGGCTTTTCTCCTGCTCCAAGAAGCATCTGGAGCGCCCGGAACCTTGAGTCTGGGGTTGCTGGCTGTGCGCCATAGCTACAGTACCGTAGCGTTCGCTCTCGGCGCCTCCGAAAAGGAGTTCATTGTCAGTTTCCTAGTATGGCGTCAGATTTAACCAGGGAGCCGAGGTGAAGGCTCAGCATTTCTCCAAAGCTGTGCCAGCTTCATGACACGCTTTAAATGCAGGCTGGGCGCGGAGGTCCCTCTCACCCTCACAGCCTGCCAAAGCGGTGTGCTCATCCCTGCGCTTGGCTGAGCTTTCTCCAGGTCCCAGGTTGGATGGGTTGAGTAAGGAATAGTTTCGTCCATTTCAGAGTGCCCATCGTTTAGCAACCGTATGCATGAAACTGTGAGACTGCAGATTCTCAGTGTTTTGTTTCCAAACATATGCCCAATGTCGTATGCCCTGAGCATCTACCAGAGTTTCCACAAAGGGGTTTCTTTTTCCTGTTCTGTGGGGTGATAGTGATAGGGGTAGCTAATGCCAGCCCTTACATAGTAGCAGGTTTTTCTTTTCCCCAAACCTTGCTGGAGATAATGAGACCTAGCCCTTTTTTGCGGAACCCTTGAGATGATGATGTTGTTAATGATGGTGATGATGATGATAGTGATGAGCTTTTGAATCAAGATATGAGTATGTGAATCAAGAGATAGAATTTAATTGAGTCACATTCCAAGGAAGTAATTAAATTTGAGAGAGGTGACTTTCTGAGTGATTCATGAAGTAAATGACAAAAAATCCTTTTCAAGTTTTAAGACGTCTTTCAATTTCCCAACTAGAAAAGATAACTTGATTATTTATAACTACATTTATAATTTTAAAACACTGTATTGCCTAGAAAAATGTACTTTTTATTATCTTTTTGGAGAAATAGTACAATATTACAATATCTGCTGGTTATCTTGCAGATATCTTTTTCAGTTGCAATGACATGAACCTGATCATTGATTGTGTGTGTGTGTGTGTGTGTGTGTGTGTGTGTGTGTATGTGTGTATTCACATTGTTATTTAAAACCATTAGTCACAAACCCTACAGGGTGTATTTCTAATCCAGTTTTTAATTAGTTGAGACCAGAGCTTCCAAAAGTATATGCAATCTGTTTATAGGCACAGAATTTCTTCAGGTGTGGTTGGGGGCATTATTAATATTTTGCAGGGTATGTCTAATCTATGGGTTTAGTGAGAATTTGTTTATATCAAATAGTTGATTATTGAGAAACTGTTAGGAGTATTAGTATCCTTGCTAATTGCAGTCCTTTGATCCAAAATAATGCAGATTTTGCATTACTTTGACACAAATGACAGATGCCTTGGGCTAGCAAAGCGAGGCACTGTCATTCTTTGAGTCCGGACTCTGCTTATCACAGTATACCATCGGAGAGGTTTGGTCATTAGCAGAGAGCTTATGCTCAGTTCAAAGGTGAGGATGGTCTGAGGGAATGCCTGCGGTATTATATTTTGTCAGGTCCTTTAATAGCTTCAATACAGTTCAGATTTATAACATAGTACACAAAGAGTTCATTTATTAGGATGTATTTTGAGATAATCTATTAGATTTGTGTGATCAGGAATTAGCTAAATCAATCACTTCTAGAAGAGCTCTTAAAATGACTGCCATTTGTTAAAAAGTCTCGTTCCAGGCAGCATGATTTGGTCTGATTACTATAATAAGAATGTGTAACTACAATTACCCCAGTTTTACAAATTAGTAAACTGAAGGTAAAATATACTAGAGTAATTATTCAAGATCAAATAGTGGTGAAGTTTGAACTACAGCTTAGGAAAGTTTGTTCCTTTGTTCATTCACTCATCAAATAAATGCTGAATTGTAGTCTGTCACGTTCTGTGTGTAATAAAACTCGAAATGGTCATTGTTAAACTTCTATGATATTCTAATTACCTTCCTGAGAGTTTGCTGTTTTTCTTAAACCCATTTCTCTCTAACATTTCTGTAGGCCTTTGAAGATGTACTATTTGACCATATGTACTTTAAAGCCAGCCCCTATGAGTTATGTTTAAAGGAGAATAAAAATCTGAATGTAATTGATGACCTTATAGAAATGCTCCCTCACTGGAGGAATGTCTTCTCTCTCCCAGTGGCGATCATTCATGCCCTGAAGCCAGAGTGGATGGTCCTATAGTTTCCTCATTCCTGGCTACAGATGTTCTCATTGTGTGAAGTGCCTGATTATCCTGTGAAATCTCGTATTCACTGAAATGATGTTCTTCAGCAATGAGCTGAACAAATTACACATGCACTGGCAGCTTTTCCACTTTTTAAAAATGAATGTTTTCCAATGAAAAATGGAGCTGCTTTTGTATTTTTGTTTGACTACAGTGCTTCATTACTAACTCAATATTCCCTTTGAGTCTAAGGAATGACCAAGTGAAGAAAGAATTCACTGATTTCTCTTCATATTCTCCTAGAGCCATTTAGCCTTAGATGTAAGAGAAGAAATTCAATGTAAGGAACTGATCATGGCTTGATACTTAAGATTCACACGTGTAAAATATTTTGTATTTACTTAGTATTTGCTGAATGTAGGTTCAGATGTTGGATGTGATGTTTCTATTTTCAAAAGAAATTCTAAGGAAGAGGTTTGGCATAATTCATCCCATCAATATTTAACTTTGTACTTATAATGTTTGTACCATTTTCTAATAGCTTCTGAGTTTATTGTTGCTATTCCTTGGTATTTAAGTCATGTAATGAATATAGTGATTTAAGAGCCCCCCCTTTTTTTTCAATTAGAGACTCGTGAAAGATGATCTTACCCAAATTCTGTGGTATTTATATAGTAAGAGATGTTTTACTAATGCTTTGGGAAGAGAAGACTGAAGAAGCTGAGAAAATGTAGCCTTCACCAACGAAGCTAGGATACTTAACTTGAAAGTAACAGGAATCCCAGAATAAGGAAAAATGAATGATGTTAAAAAAACACCATTAAAAAATAGTTTCCCTGATCCATAGAAAGATCTAAGATTACAGACTGAATAGATTTTAGAATTACACATGACATTGATGAGAAAAGACCCAACCATATACAAGTAAATTCTTGAAATCTGAAGACAAAAAGAGAAAGGTTTACAAGCTCCTAGACAGATGAAAATGAATTACAAAGGAACTAAACTATAACCAAATGTGATGGGCTTGATTCTTGGTGAGAGTAAAGCCCAAACCACACAGGATTAAAGAGCAGAGGACATTTATAACCTGCAGCAAGAAAGAACAGCATGGGGTTATTTCCAGAACAGTGCTCTCACAGAACAAAAAGACAATGGAGCTTTTGCTTGGCTAGACTCTACGTATTTATACAGGAAAGCACTTTAGGGGAGGCACATTTCTGAGCATGCTCAGTGTCCTTCTATTGCTGTGATGAAACACTAACCAAATCCATGTTGGGGAGGAAAGGGTCTATTTGGCTTATATGTCCTGATCATAGTCCATTAAGTGAGGGAAGTCAAGGCAGGAACTCGAACAGGACAGGAACCTGGAGGCAGGAACTGAAGCAGAAGCCAGGGAGGAATGCTGCTTACTGGCTTGCTCCTCCAGCCTGTACTCAGCTTGCTTTCTTATACAACCCAAGGCCATCTGTCCAGGGGTGGCACCAGCCACACTGGTGCTACCAAACACATTTATTAGCTCATGGTTACCGAGTTCTAAGTGAAGGTTCTAAGTAAGATATGGAAATATTAAAGTTAAAATTTTATCTATTCTTCAATTCACCAATTCTACTAGTAGGAAACTATGATCTGAAACATGTCAACAAGCCAGTTGTGAATGGGTACACTTGTAATCTCAGCACTTGGGAGGCTGAGATAAAAGGATTATGAGTTTGAGACCAGCCCAAAATACACAAGGAGGTCCTATCTCAAAATCCAAAGTTAAACATAGAAAACAAAATGCAACAAACAAAAAGAGCATCAATGTGTAAGCATGCCTATAGAAAGATTTCGTATTATTTCCAAACCAATAAAGAAATGGTAACTAAACCTTTCACTGAACATATCGGTGAATAAATTATATTACATCCTTCCTATAAAATATGATGAAGCAATTCAAAAGAATGAATTTGTGTTATGCAGGAATTTAGCTCCAAAAGGGACTTATCAACAGACTCCCAAAGATAAGACATAAAGAGTAATAGGTGGGCCAACTCAAGGGTCTGAAACAGGGTGTAAAGATAAAGGTGATAGTTGTCTGTTGGTCAAGATAGTGGTGGTGGTCTCTCCAGATGGACCGGCTCAGAGCCCTCAACACAGGATGGAAGGACAATATATCTGGTAGTGCCCTCTAGCTGGATTACTCAAACCAGCTTCTGGGTAAGGAAAGTTTCTCACTCATGCCCAGAATGCTGTTACCCCTTCCTCTAGTGGGCTTCTCAACTTCAGGGGTGCTTAAGCCCCTATACATTCATGTATTTTATACACCTACTTAGATTGAATTCTGGGTGACTGGACTTCCAAGAAAAGCATGCTCTGCTGCTGGAAGTGCTCACCCAGAGAGAGGGGCACAAGGCAGAGGACAATAGGGAGAAGAGAAAGAAAATCCCACATTTGCCAAAATTGGGCCTTTGCTGCTCCTCTTGGTCTGCTCTTTTCCTAAAGAGTGTATTGTTGCTGTTTTGCTTATTCTAATTAAACTGTTGATTGCTGGGTCTACTCCTGTGTGATGTCTAAATTCTTTTTAGGGAGCTC